GTGCACACACTTGGGTGTATGATTAAATATCCTCGATGTATGAAAGGTTCACAGCACGGTAGGCCAGCGATGCGAGAAGACCAGTGGAGCTGCTGCTGCATTCTGGATGAACTGCAGAGGTCGGATGTCATTTGCAGGTAAAACCGCCAGAAGGGAGTGGCGGTGGTCCAGGCGTGAGATGACAAAAGCTTGAACCCGAACTACGTTGCCTTCTGGGTAAATAGACCTCCTGATGTTGTAAGTAAATAAGGACTTATTGTGGGTTGATGAGATTTTGTATAGATACAGTATATATTTTAAGTTAAGGTGTATGGAGGCACTTCATGGAACCACTATCTATCTCAAAATCACAAAGCTTCCTTCATCCACCTGATAGCAAATAATTACATTTTTAGAAATGACAAATAAGGTTTCTTTCACTGCCTTTAAACAATTTGCACTGCTCTTATATTGTTTTTGGGATGGCTTAAAAGTAAATGTCGCTGTAGAAATACTCTGTTAAAATTCCTGCATTAAAAGTCTTATTTTTCTAAAATAATGTATGTATTGGCATCAAAAGTAATTTAATGTAAATCCTCATTTTGTCCAATGGCCTATATCCGATTATTAAATTATTACAACATGAAATTGTTGATCATTTTATGTTGCAACTGGTTTACAAGGAGCTTTTTTTATATATATATATCTACTGCCGTGTAGCTATGATGTCAAGAAGGGTTCAATAAAGTTGTATCAAAACCTATAATAATACATGATTTGTTCATTGTATTTCTAGTTTTTAAGTTGTAAGATAAATGCATTGGAGTTTAAGCGCTGCATTTGCCTCTGAATTGTAGTGGAGGAAAAGTATAACGTAGCAGGAAATGCAGCACTCAAGTAAAGTCCCACAAAATGATACTTAGGTCCAGAACCTGAGTACAATTACCTAGTAACTCTTCACCATTGGTGATAAGACACCACCTGAAGTGATTTGAGTGAACAGGCCCTGTATACAATATATTTTTTAATACAGGTTGCTGTTAAATTCCAGTGTCAAACAGCAGGAAAAAAATATCCTTTAAGTCCATCTGTGTGGAGACTGAGTGTCTGACATGCACAGTCAAGACAGACAAATGAGGTGAATGAGATGAACACGCTGTGGTGATGTTCATGCTGCCAAAGTGCCAAGTCCAAGTGAAGTCTGCCAGGCCATGTTTACATGAAGGAGTGGGAAACATATCCATTTCATATATAGTTCATAGCACTGCACTACTAGTTGCTCTTCGTGGCAGAAGCTGTCCGTCTCTCCTCCTCCACAGGCAGAATTTGATTGTCTGGTCTTATGGTGTTCCCTAGCAACCGTTATAGTTCCCTTCTCATTTACAATCTTCTCAATGTATGTGTGCCCACGGTTTCCTAAAATTGTCCCTGATCTGGTGGAAATGTGTTACACAATCACCCTCTTTTCTTTTGCTGCCGTGTGTTGTTGTTGACAAAAGAGAGTGGTCACATTAAAGTTTGCCATCAATATTCTTCCTCCAGCTTTTCCTAAGCTTAGCGTCTTCCAGGAAGTGCCAGTGGAAGCTGTCTTACCTTGTTTCGTCTTGGCTCTGCTTTTGCTTTTTGATGCCCTGCAGTAAAACCTCAACCAGTTGGCTGTAGATGCAACAATATAAAGTAACACGAGTCTCCTTAAATAGAGGATCTTAACTGATGTGGATAACGTAGCTCGAATGATTCCTTCCTCTGATATGTCTTCTTACTGGCGTCATGTCTTTATGTAAAGTTCAGCTGCTTCACTTGTCAATGATGTAGCTCTCTGACCAAGTTAGGAAGGCTGTTGTGTAGACGATTAATTTGTAGAAGTTGGTGTCTCGTGGCTGTCAAAGAAACATTTTTGTAATAATATCCCTGGCCTGTATAAACTGTGTTAGAGTACACAGTGCCATTAGAGAAGGCCTGGCAAGGATCCTGAAACATCTTCACGCAGTATAACGGATCTATTGACACACATAGTTTTAGAAATGGTAATAAAAATATAAAAGCTACTTTGAGTATTTCACACTCCACAGCGGTATGTCTGTAATGTCACACAGTAAAACAAAACCAATCTGTCCGTCGTCACGTCTCGCCATTGACAAGAAACGGCAGAACAGTTTACACAGTGGGGTGGACCTCAACAGATCTCTGCCAGTCGGTTATGTGGACACACACACACACACACACACACACACACACACACACACACACACACACACACACACACACACACACACCACACACACACACACACACACACACACACAACACACAGACTATTTGTACAACAGGCCTGCATGAATGTCAAACAGCACTGTCTGTGCCCACTGTTGCCACTTCTGGACAGTGTAAACTTAAATCTTCTAGCATTTTTTAAGTTTTCAAAGTTGCACCCATGAAAAACAATTAAGCATCCAAAGATATAACTGGTAAAAAAACACCTTAAAATGTCTTAATGTCTATATATATATATATTTTATTGAGCTGTGTACTGATTTTATTGAGCTGTGTACTGATTATTCTAAACGTTTCAAACCATTTTCAGACCCAGAGCCAGCCATAATTCTTAAGATAAGTGTTCATTTCAGATGTTCAACTATAAGTTGCAGTAAGTACATTGTAATTGACTTTTTATCAAGTTTAAATTGTAGTCGTTGGACGTCTAAATCAGTTATAAGGGAATAAAGCTGAGAAAATCTGTGAAGCAGAAACCCTGATTTTTAAAACGACAAGGTTGACATCGGGTAGATTACTAGTAGTAGATTTGTATTGCAGTGCTGCATCACATCATATCATTGTTATGTTTAAAGTCACTAAGGAATAGACTTAATGTGTCAAGTGAATGTTGCAGGTCATTTGAATCCCTGTAAAATATCCTGAAGTGTAGTAGGCCTACAAACGGAGCAAACGTTAGCATGTAGCCCCTCCATCCTATGTCAATCCAAACAGAGTAAATCATATTTCACAAGAAACTGATGTGTGTGTGTGTTTACACCAGTTTAACTGAACATGTCTGTTTGTTTTGGACAGGAAGAGGCCTGTGTGGATAATTTGGCTTACAGTAACAAACGTCTGTATCTTCAATAACCAGAGAAACAAGCTTGGCAAACAGTAGCCGCTTGTCTATCATTCTGATTCACTTTTAGTGGCATCAAATGGCATGTTATGCTTTTAAATCAGTGAGCCGGTGCACACCTTTCAGAGGTTAGTGGGATTCATGTAGAAAAACACATTCACATGTTATTCTCATCCTCTTTGTGTGTGTCCCGGCCTTCCCTCAGGACTTGTCACCATTAGTAGCAGCAACGGTATGTGAATGTTAATGCCCCTCGGCCTGGATGAGTGTAACATGCATTTATCATGTGAGGAAACTCTACATGTATACCCTTTTTTTCCCACTTTGTGCTGGTGACCTGAACATGCCTTAAGGTGATCTACACGTGAACACTCCTTGGCAGTAAAAGCCCAGCTCATTAACACTTTTCATAAAAAATGAGGGTGAAAATATGCCTTTTAAACAGATGTCAAGTATAATCCTTTCAGCGTTCATTTGACTGCTAGACAGAGAGAGTGAGACTCTGGTATGATGGCCGTTAATGACAGGGGTCTTAATGTGTTTGAGACATGCTTGGTCTGTCCCGTGGTGGAGCTGAGTGATGTGGGAGGGGTGAGGGGTGTTCACACACACAGCTGCCATGTGAGTTGTGCAGTAAAACATTTGATGTGAGTAGGTGGGCCAGTAATGATAATGTAATGTGCAGTGGGGGCGTTTGAACACCATGTCAGTTTCTGAAATGGGCAACCTGTCCCGTGTTGATGGCGGAGGAATACCTGTTTTTCATATTTGACATCCTGGATCAGAACCTTATATTGATTTATTTTGTTTTGTTGCATTTTCATGTCCGTCTTTTAGTCTGCCCTGTTCAAATGTCTCTTTTAGGGTCATTTTAAGACTTTATTTATTGTAGCCTCTTTAGTGCAAGTCTCTCAGTCATGAATAGATGCAGACACAGTTTGAAGGTATAACATGGTAGAAAGAAAATAGTTCCTACATTATAACAGACAACTGGATTATCTTGAGTTACCAGGTCATCATTTCTACAAGGAAACATTGCTGTTACTTTTCTAAATGTATTTCTTTCGTGGCTTTTTGAGTACCACAAGCTGCCATCTACTTCCATCTTTATTCAAGAGAAGCCAGGCATCTCTAGGGCTAATAACTCCAACAATCGGTAACTCACAATAAAACAATCCACATCATTGAATAGCACTACAGGTAAAAGAAAATACATTATTTAGATTTGGGATGAACTGTCCCTTTTTCCTCCCCAATACAGTAAGATACAAATAAAAATAAGATAAAGAAATAAGATACCAGCAATAACATCAATTGATATTAAAAGGAAAAGTATGAAATGATCCTGGCAAATTAGAACAAACAAATCAGGAGAAAAAAACTTTGAATACATTCTAGAAAACCCAATTTGCTGAAGATTAGTAAGAGGCTACGTGTGACTTTATTTCAGGAATATTGAGGCTTTTGTATTTAATACAATAAAATAACTCGGCAGGGTTATTGTTTGTTTCTCCCATATCAGTCTGCAGGTTCCACTCCTGCCACTCAGTACCGCGGGGTCGCTGTAGCTGCCATTTTTCCTCTTTCTTTCTGCACCGACTGACAGATAGTAGGATAATGAGGAGGTCTCACTCTGACATATTATCCCTCTACCATAAGTAACATGTAAAGATTGAAGTTTCACAATTCAACCATGCATGTTAGACAGATATCCATTTACATATGGAGCTAGATTGACTTAAACTATGAAAAGTAGTATGCGTTTTAAAATGTAATTATTAAGTCACCGCGCCACTTTATGCCGTATCGTTCTGGAAAGTGGGTTAGATTGTTTGCTCACGAGTGCGTTGTCTTTGCTAAATCATAGGCGATCTTTGTTACTGGTTTCTGAGCTGAGGAGGAGAGCGAGAATCCGTGTGGACCACAGCTTGCTGCTGCAGCGGCTCGAACACACACACACACTGGCCGGGCACACACATACACACGCTCACACATCATCATTTTCTACAGCATTATCACACACTCACTGCCGGGGGAGGACACGGGAGCCGGGTTGCAGCCGACGGTGAGTTGGAACATCCTTTTTTCTTTCTTTGAAGATGGAGATTTGTTCTCCCCCGATGTCTGCAATATCAACATATGTTGCTGGAGAAATATGGTGCAGTGGATGTGTCAAAGTCAGTTTTTTGGTGATGCTGCTTCACTGGGATGACCAGGTGCAAATATAATGGATGCCGATTGTCGTGTTTGATTTTTTGTGTGTGTGCTGGGCATCAAAGCAGCACTGCACTGCATGCATGTTGGAGAGGGAATGTGTTGATCTGCTGCTGCATGGATGATGTGTTCAGGGTTGCAGCAGCAGGGCTGGTTAGAGCTCATTGTTGCTGCCGGCCGGTGCAGGCCTGCAGGCTGAGAGGATTATTTGATGTCTGCCAGTGATGCTGCCAGATGTAGCTCAGCTCCTCAAGCTGTCAATCCAATTGTTGTGACTTTAAGACACCGAGGCCCTGTTGGCACATTCAGATATGAATAGTCAGCAGGTGTCTATTGGTCAGTATGGCGGGTGGGGGCCTCTTTTATTATTATTGATCAATCTTTTTCATTGATTCTGCCATAAAATAAACAAGAGGGCTCCATGAAGGAATATTATTTGTGATGTAGAATTGTCTTAAGCATGATAAAAGACAGAGAGGAGAGGACACCATTAAAGATGTGCTCTGCAGTTGGGAGTTGACATTTGATTGGTCATCAAAGGAGATTCATCTTTTGGATTGGATATCCCCACATGTTAAGGAATTATTTGGATTCAGTATTGGTACAAAACATGATAATTCAATTAATATTTCAATACATTTCAAGCACAAATTGACACTCTGGTTTTAGATTCTTAAATGTGATAATTTGCTGCTTTTCCTTGTCATATTTGATAATCATATTGACAGTGTTACTAGTTTTAGACTTTGTATGGATAGAATGTGATTTATTTGACCCTCAACCATAGTGTACATTGGTTACAGGCAATATTGAAAGAAATACTCTTACACTTAAGTAAAAAAAGGAATACCTCAGTAGTAAACAAGTCAAGTAAAATGTCACTTAAGTAAAAGCACTGAAGAAGTATCATCTAAATGTACTCAAAGGAAGCCAAGTACACATTTTTGATGTGATATTATTCAGTTTAAGTCACTTACATGCAAGAGCATACGTTGGGATTAGTGGTAGTAGATGTGTAGTGCAGTACTGCATCCTATCACTTTTTTTAGTGTCAAGTGAATGTTGTAAAAAGTACTACATTTTCCTCTAAAAATGTAGAGAAATATATGTATAAAGTAGCATCAAATATAAATATTCAACTAAAATTAATAGTATATCAAAATCGTACTTTAGTACTGCACTTGAGTAAATGCAGTTACATTCCAATAGTGTGAATTGGTGCCTATAATAAGGCTTTAATATAGGCTGCTCAGTTGCAGCGAATGGGAATCCCTCTGTTGCAGCTGCTCTATAATGCTAACATTAGCCCGCTAACCTACATTCTCAAAGTTCCTGTCAGCAACTCATACCGTATTCTTATATTCAGCAATATAGGAAGATGAGGCTCTCTGCAGTTGTTTTCTAACCTTTTGTTTGTGAAACATAAAGAAACATTAACAGCTTGATTTGCGGTTATTCAGCGCAGACAGTGAAATGTCACAGAAGGAAAAAGCACAGGTGTAAACAATCACATTTAACGAGTGGGTGAATTCCATTAAGACATTTGAATAGAGCGCAGCCTTCGTTAATGTTGTGAGTAACACCTGTGCTTTCACACTGTAACCCATCACTTTATATCAATTAAAAAATACCACACATAACATATTTCACATTTTAAGGCGAGATACTTCATGTACTGGTAATTTTGTGAGTTTGGCTTCTTTTCTGCTCCACATAACATGACTTTCACATTAGATGAAAGACCCATAATTCACATACAGGTGTATTTTACCAACTTTGTCAATTTGCATCTGTATATTTCTCCTTAATTTAACAATATTTAGCATCAGATTTAAACAAAACATTTCCAAAAACACAGTGGTATCTGTGTATTTTTATGTTTTATTTAAAAAAACTACTGTAGCCTAAGAAATGACTTTTTTCATTGATGTTTCTTTTTTGAATAATATTCATTTCTATTCATTCTGAAAACTCCACTTAGCACTGACATACGACCGACAAACCTCCAGTTTTCATTCTTTTGATACTTTTGACCAAAGCTTTGTTCATCATACATCATTTAATAACCTTATTTTTAGGACATTTTATTTCTAAAAATATGGCTTTTTGGATCTACGTCGTCATAAAAAGAGATATCCAAAATCCCATATAAATACAAATATGTGACTCTTTTTGTTTAAAATGTTAAGACCTCTTTTTCAGAAATCCATGCAAATTAAACATATTTAATAAGAAATGCCTCATTTGCATATCGACATGTGTAAGTGTTGAACCAAAGAAGAGTCTTGGTTACTAGACACAGTGTCTCCCCTTAGATACTGAACAGCTCCATTTATCTTAATGTATCTGGGCTATTAATCAATTACCAGTGGGAGTACATCTCCATTTGAGAATGAAACTCACGGGATGATGTGGCATGTCATGGCAGGTATCGAGCGTTGGCAGCACCATCACCATTCCTGAGCCCCCCCCCTCCCATCACAAGACATCACCTCACCTTGACAACTCCCCAGCACTGAGCCATTACTCAGGGCAGACGCAGAGTCCTCCTCACTCTCCCAGCTCTCCCATGTATCCACGGCCCATTAGACACAAAGTCAGGTGACGGAGCTTATGGCGAGTTTTCATTCTCATTCTGTCTCCTTAAGTGATGACACAATTTTTAGACACGGAGCGATGCGCAAGATTGCTTGGCAGGCTGTTTGGGGATTATAAGGTCCAGGTTAACTTCTTTAATGTCCCTCAGGTGACATTGAAACTGTAGATTTTATTTGCAGGAAGATTGGACGCCAAAGAAAACACTCTAAAACACTTCAATCACAGGCCAAAGTAGTTTTACTCTCTTAAACCTCTTGTGTACGTATTGCAATTCTGATACACTGGCATACTTTTATTAAATATTCTTCCCATCATATTCTTGATTCTTTACCATTAAAGTTTGGTCTGTAAAACAAAATAGCAAAAAACTGCATGTCACAGTTTCCTAATGCCCATGATATGATATATTTAAAAGGGTTTGAAAGAAGTTGTGTTTTGTCAGCTCTGTCCACAATTATGTTTTACAATAATCATCAAGACATATTATACAAGTAATGAAAAAGGCCCATAGCATGTTCTAAAATTCACTTAAATAAAAAAATGTTCCAACCCAAAAGTCCAAAACTGAAAGATATTGAATTTTAAGGGATAATAATTAGAGAAAAAAACGAAATAAATCTTTATATTTAAAACTTCAACCAGCAAGTCGTGCTGTTCTTCTTGGCTAATTGAATCCTTTATTACCTTAACTGTATATCGACAGAACGGTAAAAACTCGTTATCAAGCTGTATATTAGATTATCAGCTCACAGGTCAGATCTATTTTAGTTTTTTAGGAGCCCAAACCATCCCTGATATACTGACGACATGCTGTGTGAAAATCAGGTTTCACATCTGCACTTTCCAGCTCTAGTATGCTGCTAATGTTGTGTGCATTTGCAGCACTGCACCACTTCAGGTACTGCTGCAACTAGGACACATTTGTTTTTAATGAATCCCTAAGGATTGTTAAACTATATTAGCAACCTCCACTGAGGATGTAGATGATGCCGTCCTGTTTTTTCTGTCTTTTTCATTAACCCCTGTGACATCTACGTGACCACTGTGCAAGGAGGCTGCAGCCAAATGGATATAATGAGCACCATAGAGTCTTCAGTATGCTTTAGGTTAATGGCCTGAGCCCCCTGCAGCGATGATGGTGAGGTAAATAAACTCCCCCACACCCTTGCCTCTCTGCTGGACATGTTTGGGTTGCTGTTTTCATTAAGTGACCAGGACACATTAAATTAGCATGACTGGCTGCAGATTGATGAATTGGTGAACTGGGGGCAGTTAAAGGGTCTCTGCTGCTGGTGTTTCTGAACGAGCAGATGCTGTTCTCCCTGCCTTCCATCAAAGACAGATGGGTTTTTGTTTGTTGGTTGTTTTTTTAGGAGATGATGTTATTGCTTGGAGATGGGGAAGACCCAGTTTCGCCACAATAAGGGCCAATGAGGGAGGAGTGTGTAGTCAGGCTTTGACATGAGGGAAGATACTTTTTTAATGATTTTGAGATTTGAGAATAACCATGTGGTTTGTGAACACTAACCTAAGATGGCACAGTTAATTGATCAATCAATTAGTCAATCAGAAAGAGGGGTTAGGACAGAGGAGGAGAGGAAAGGAAAGGAGATGGGATCAAGAGGAATGGAACGTTCAAGAAGAGAAACAATGGAGTGGAGAGAAAAGTAAGGGAGATAATTCAAAAATAGAAAAGGAATGAGATAGGAGAAGGGAGAAAATAAAGGAGGGGAGAAAGGGAGAGGAAAGGAGAAGGCAAGGTCAGGAAAGGAAATAGGAGAAGGAACAGAATGGAGGAGAGGAGACAAAACACAAGGAGAGTAGGGAAAGACGACAAAGAAGAGGTAAGGAAAGAAAATAAAAAGGGTAGGGGATAAAGAAACCATGAAAGACAAAAGGAGAAAAACAAAAGCCTAGTATAGGGTGTGTGCAATGACTGAGGAAGAGGAGTAAAAGTGATTGTAGTGGAGAAGAGTGACATCCTGCTGCGATCACCAGCTGTGCCAGGACACATCTGAAGAAGAGCAAGAGACTGGAGACTAATATAAGGAGACATATCATCACACACACACACACACACACACACACACACACACACACACACACACACACACACACACACACACACACACACACACACCACACACACACACACACACACACACACACACACACACACCACACACACACACACACACACACAGTTGAAGTGCCACACGTTAGATGTCTTCAAAGGTCAATCATTAATACATG